AAGATATAAGATATCTTAAAGTAATGCAGACTGTCTGAGGGGCGTAACGCATTATATTTAATTCTATTTTGAATTGTCACCTGGTTTCCTTCACATTAATAAATTCTTTACATTTGTCAGTTGAAGCTGGATCAAAGTTTAATTCTGTGGTTTAACTCTGAGTTCTGAACATTTCTTCAGATTTCTGTATTTTGCAGCAGAGCAGCGCCTCAGACTTCAGACCGTGTCTCGGCTAATGGATTCAGATGCCTCACAGTGTTGTCAAGGTGCAAATCTGTCATTAGTTAATACAGAACCGGAGACACCTGTTTGCTGGTGTCGGTGTCGACCCGTGTTGTGTTCGCTGACGTTCAGACGACCAGCAGCTGTCGCCCGCTGCAGTCCACAGAGTCTCCCAGTGACCCTGAAATTAATCTGACATCACTGCTGCGACCTTTAATTTACATCTGACAGGCCGCTGAGTGCAAACAGCTCATTCAGCTTCAGACCGCAGCGCCACCCAGTGTTCAGCACAGGAAACACAGCTGTGGGTTAGAGCCAGGGGCTGCGTTCAAGGGCGGCACTTAAACTCTGACCTAAAAGACAAGATGCAGCTTTGTTCAGCCAGGAAAGGAAATTCTGTTGCACGATATTGCTCAGAAAAATAAATTATAAAAACTAAATAGAAAAGTGATAAGATAAAAGGACAATATAATCCTGAAAATAAAGATAAGTATATAATAAATAATACTGGACTTTATACTGACATGATAATATGAATATTGCACATTCACCGTAAAGAAATATTGCAAAAGAAATTGAGTTTTACACATAATAATAAATTACTGGACATTAAACTGAATATTACACACAATCTAAACACATCACTGCTGTACCCATTGGACTTTAGAGCTCATTTAGGCATTTATAAATGACAGGAATCTGTTTTCACTCCATAAAAATACTAAAATAAGCTAAGGGCCTTGAGCATGAACAGAAACATGTGCCGCTGGAATCTGATAAGTAAGAATTAAATATTTGCCTCTAAATGTGCAGAGCAATGGAAGCACAACAATAAAATACTTAAATTAAGCACATGTAACTTGTAATTGCACTAAAGCACAGAGCTGGAGTATATTTATAAAAATGAATTAATTGATGGAAGTGTTTTGTTACCTTTATTCAACATTTTACCAGACAGGCAAAATTATTCTTTAAAACATCCAACAATAATTTGAGTACTCAGTAAAGGCACAAATATGAGCCACAAGAAATTAAATCTGAATCATTTATATTTGAATTTTAATTGCTCAACTCGAGTAACTGGATTTGAATGTTGCAGACAAGTGTCGTAGAACATTAAATTTGAATTTTTGAGTCATTTTGATCACAATTTTAACCCATATTCAATCATTTTGGGTTCTTTTAGGACAGTTTTAAGGCACTTAGAACACGTTTAATGCCATTTTGGACCGTTTCAAATCAATTTAACTGATTTGGACTCGTTTTGAGCAATTCTGGACATTATTTAAGCCATTTTTAATAAAAACTGGAGACAGTTTGGACAATTTTGAGTCCTTTTCAACAGCTTTGAACCTTCAGAAGAGTCTAAATCCTTCTGTGCAAACTTTGATTCCTTTTCTAAATCATTTTTGAACATTTTTTAGCTAATTTTGGATTAACTGTATTATTTAGGACACTTTTATTCAGTCATTTAATCGTTGTACCATTTATTTCCACAATTCTTTAAACTCAGCTGCTCAAGAGCTTCACCTGCAATATTTGAGAGTCATGCAAAATGTTTGAGGTGCTTAATACTCAAACATTCTGGCTGAGTTTTGTGTTTTCCTTCACGTAAATAAAGACGTTTCCACATAAACTGATGCAGAAAAAAAGGCACAAACTTACCAGAATGCAGGAAATTAAGTTTTGGATGCTCAACCTTTCCTGGAGGAGGACCCCAACACATCCTGATTAACGTATTACCCCCAAAACAAAATCCACGCCCGTGTGTTTCTGTGTTTTCATGCTAAACGTTTACATTTCCTTGTAGCCCCTGAACGCACCGCGGCGCCTCCTGCTGCCTTCACGGTCCCCTCCTCTGGTGGCTTATTGATCCCAAGCTAGCCGATCGTTAGCTTTTGTGTCAGAATGCTGTCTGCAGAGTGTCGCTGTGTGTCCGTTGTTTCTGGCTGAGGGTATCCGGTACCGGGTGGCTTTAATGTTCCGTGCAGCTAATCTAAAAACCATCGGCAAAACGGGAACTGGCTGGTAGGTGGTGTTCGAAATCACACACACACGTAGCGGATTGTTCACGTCCTCTCAGCCGCTTAACGGAGCCGAAGCTAGCCGTGCTAACGGGCTAGCAGAGCAGCTCGGCTCCTCTCGGTATCACACGGTTGGTTGTCTGCTAATTTCTCTGCGACAGTCGTTCCAACTAACCTCAAGTTAACTCTGCCAGTGCCGCTAGTTATCGATAGTTGACTGTCTTCAAAGATGCTAACTTAAACTAGCCTGTTAATTTGCAAGAAAACATTAGCATACGACGCTAAAGTTGCTAGCTGAAGCGGAGGAGCGATGTTTACAGTTTGAGGACGGTTTGCTAATGATATCCGAGTCTTAGGTTGAAATGATTACAGTAACTTTTAGCAGTGACTTTAGTCTGTGTTGGCTCTACCGTCTGTCGACAAAACATTGGAATATTGAGTCATTTGCGTGCAACCATCCAACTTAAACTAGCCTGCTAACTAGCAAGAAAACATTAGCATACAGAGCCAAAGTTGCTAACTAAAGCGGAGAAAGGATGTTTTTAGTTTAAGGAGAGTTTGCTAATGATTTTCGCATCGTAGAATGGATTTATTACAGTCAGTTTTAGAAGTGACTGAATTCAGACTGCATTTTCTCTAACCTCTCTCGACAAAACAGCAAAAAATTATATAATTTGTGTGCAGCCATCTAACGTAAACTAGCCTGCTAACTAACAAGAAAACATTAGCATACAGAGGCAAAGTTGCTAACTGAAGCGGAGAAGCGACGTTTTCAATTTAAGGTAGGTTTGCTAATGATATCAACGTCTTAGATTGGATTTATTACAGTCAGTTTTAGCAGTGACTTCATTCTGTGTTGACTCTAACTTCTCTCGACAAAAGCATAGAATATTATCTGATTTGTGTGCAATCATCTAACTTAAACCTGCCTGCTAATTAGCAAGAAAACATTAGCATACAGAGCCAAAGTTGCTAACTAAAGCGGAGAAGCGATGTTTTATATTTAAGGAGAGTTTGCTAATCATATCCGAGTCTTAGATCGGATTTATTACAGTAAATTTTCAGCAGTGATTTCATTCTGTTTTGGCTCTAAGTTTACTCGACGAAAACATTAGAATATTAGGTAATATGTGTTCTATCATCTGACTGTAGTGTCACTGAGTTCACTGCTAGCTTATCTAACGATGTTAGCATGTCAGCAGAGTCGTGGCGCATTGATTTGGCTTGGTTTTGATAAATAGTGCTGAAGTCCTGTTTTCTTGTTGATTTTCGAACCAGCAGATTGAAGAGTACAAACTTTGCACTGAGCTGATTAGCATCCCATTAGCTTATATTTGTCATACACAATGATGTTGGCCAGATAAAAGTGTTATTAATGCCTATAACCAGCAGGAATATGAGGGAGGATGTTATGCTCCTTGTTAGCAAAATGACCAACATGCATCCTCAGCGTGTGATAGTTGGTGATGTGAGAGCAGACTTAGGGGATGTAGCTGAAACATCTACTATATACAATGCTTCAGTTCAGTCGATATTGGTCGTTTTAATGAGCCCTTTTCAACAACAACAAAAAAACACAGAATGAAGGTTTAATCTAAATTCCAACTCTTTACAGTTTTAGCCACAAGTTCCACAGGTGATAGTTTTAATGGTAACACACAAGTAAACAAGGATAAAGTCCTGTTAAATGAAGAGAACAAGTCAAATCCAGTACCACATGCAGGGAAACCAGGGCGAAGCTGTTGCAGCCAGGTTGAGGTTAATGTTCCTGGTGGTTAACCTCAGCTGGATGTCACCAGACAAGGGCCCAACACCGACCACTGTGGTCCCCCATGTCAAGTCAGTCAGCCCTCGGACCAGGCTATCGGAGCTGGAGGTGTTGTGAGACCGTGTTGTGGGTGTTTTTAGATCATGAAGTCCATCTCACAAGGGAAGCCACTGGTTTCTGCTGGCTCCACCCTCCACCAGAGGAGGTCTGTGGATGTGGGTGACCAGAGGCTTCAGACTAGTACGCCTGGGGACCTGCATGAAAGCCAACAGAGAGAGTGACAGAGGATAAAGGGGCTCCATTATCAAGGGATATGACAGGAGATAACTTTCATTTTTGGCAGTTTATTAGCCAGGCCTCAGAAGGCTGCTCAGGAAATAACAAATCAAACGCTGCTTTTAATGTGTCCAGTCCTATAATTAAATGCTTAAAGTCTCATGTGCGTCAGGGTCCAGGTCTGTAATTGAATACGTTAACAGTATCTTCCCTCTTTTTCCACCATTTCAGGCACTTTCGCCGGACGATGGACGAGCTGGTCCACGACCTGGTGTCAGCGCTGGAGGAGAGCTCAGAGCAGGCAGCTCGCGGTGGTTTCGGCGATGGAGGGGACCACGCTCTGGCGGTGGGCTGTCTGCTGAAGAGGCAGGCTCGGAAACGGAGGGGCAGGAAGCGGCGCTCCGACAACCCGCATCCGCCGTGGGAGACCGGGCACCTCAGCGAGGGCTCAGAGTCCAGCGTGGAGGAGCATAAGGTGAGCCGGGCGAATCTGTCAGTCTGATTTTTCTGGTAGAGAGAGGGGAGGATGGTGTGCTAGCCTCTGTAGTGCTCTTGATGTTTTCCTGTTTCACTGGCAGCTTTAGATTTGTTCTACTGTAGCTGATGAATAGTATTTTGTTTTTTTAAATAAATCAGATTGAGTTTCCGTTGCTGCATCGGTTCAGCCTCACTCTGCTTTTGTCACAACTGACACACTTGAGTTTCTTAATTTAGCCTCCCAGTCTGGTATTCACCACACTGACATCTGTTGCAGGACTACCGTGCCAGTACCGGAGGCGTCTCTGCTGCCAACAGCCATGCCCGCGATAACAGCGACTCGGACGAACAGCTCGGACCCAAACGCCGAAACCCCCACACGGCTGAGATCGGCCGGAGCAAGAGGCCGCTGTGGCCGGACGACCTGGGCGTGCTCGGGTCAGCGGAGGGAACTCGCAGCCTCAGACGGCGACGTAAAGTCAAACGTATGGCCGTCGACCCGCCCGCAGAACCAGAACCTCCCTCCTCCACCATGCTGGGGCCGCCGCCGGTACCCAAAGCCCGGGTGGGCGGGCGGCCGCACAGACTGGGTCCGAGCGAGGGCAGGGGTCCCATGGAGTTGTGTGGAGGGGGGCTGCTGGGGTCTGGAGGAGGGAAGAACCGGGTGAAGAAGAGGAAGCTGGCCTCCCACAGACTGGGGCTGGAGGCTGCAGATGAAGGGGTGGTGGTGGAGAGCGAAGACCCCGTCTCCTCCCCCATGGAAGGCTCCAAGGACAAGATGGAGCTGGAGGAGCCGAAGGGCTCGGATGAGGACATGAGTGACAGGTGGTTAGTGTTTGACTTTCTTTTTATGCCGTGAGTCCAGACGTTCCTCTGCTTCTGCTGCTGTGTTCAGTTTTTATGAGAGAGTAGGAAACAGGTAAGAAGAAGAAGAACCGGATCTCAGACATGAGCTCTGCTTGTTCTGTCTGTTGTTTTAGGCAGATGTTCTCTTGTAGCTGCTTTTATTTAGACAACATGTGCAGTTTGAGACCTTTGGCTCCTATGATTAGATTAAAAATGTGTTTTTAGAAGAACAAGGCGTTAACTTCTTCACCACTGAGCTCCAAGCAAAAGGCAGGTTTATTTAATCCTGTCTCATTTTTCCTCACTGTGGACTTGTGTTATGGGGGGAATATCGATATCGATGTGAATATGGGAGGAAATACGTCCCCTCATGCTGAAGCTCCAGTGTTATTTCACCACTAGCACCAGAAATACCTTTTTACTACTCAGCCCGTGATGTTTGTGAGGCAGCCAGTTGTTCTTTTTGAGCATTTTTTGAATGAAATGTGTTTAAACTCTTTGCTTTATTTTCCTTTTTTTTCCTCTAGTGAGACCAGCAGCGTCAGTAACAGCAGCGACGGAGGCCTCTACACCAACGACGAGGGGAGACAAGGTCCGTAGTTATTGGTCCGACTGATCAGAAACACACACAGACGATTGATGTGACCTCTGTTCATCTGCAGGCCTGATGATAACAATAATCACATCTTCTGTCGTTGTTTCCTCCAGGAGACGACGAGCAGAGCGACTGGTTCTACGAGGGCGAGCCGGGCTCCGGTTCAGCACCCGGTGGGGCCTGTGGGATAGCAGGAGTGGTCCCCTGGTGGGAGAGGGAGACCGGATCAGAGGAGCTGGACCTGGCCGACCCGGTCTTCAACAGCATTCTCACCGGGTCTTTTCCACTCATGAGTCCCGGAGCACAGAGAGGTCAGCTGGCTTTTAGAAGCTTGGACACCCTGATAATGAAGTGCTGCTTCTAATAGATGTTAAATATGAATAATTATATGTGTAGTAATATGTTTTAGATGATGTAACATGTAGATATATATAAAATACACAGTATGAGGGAGCTCAGGAAAAATGCACCGTCACATGAATGTTACAGTGTTGTTGTAATCTCACGCCCGACCACTAGGAGGCGAACACTTCACACAAACCAAGAGCAGCATTTAGCATCATGTTAATGAAATAATGATCAAAATAAAACTGTTTTCTGAGGCTTTTGGATGTAGCAGGATAAGATAATCTCCCATGAAGCTGCTTTTCTACTCCTCACATCTCGTTGGTTTTAGAAAATCCTTTCCGGGTTTTGTTGGGAAACGTTGGCTCGGTATCTTAATGAAGTGACATCACTGCTAATCATCACCCAGTCGATTGAGGGAAAAATAATCAGCATCTTGTTTATCTGTAGATGAACTAAACGTTCCACAGTGCACCCTCAGTGGGTCTCATTATCCTAAATTAATTCAAAATCAACTTCAAAAGCTTGCACTTGCAGTTTATTAAATCATTTAAATTGATTAATTCATACTGAAGTGAAGACGCTGAAGACGCTCAGCAGTTCAGGGAAGAATAAGAAGAGATTTAATTTGCAGCACAGAGCGACTCTTCACTTTATTTTTCTGACACTTCAGGTAATCGCCTGAGACTTAAATCCACTTTCAAATTTGTAAAACCTTTATTGTGTTTGTGAAAATGCCAAAAAAAATAGACAATAACCTGCTTTTTAAACATCTAAACCACATTAAACTCTGATTTAAATGGGTCAGATCTGAACTCGATTCTCCCTCAGAGGCTGAAGACTTTATTAAACACAGCGTCTGATTTGTGAAAATGCACAAAAGTGACATTTTACTGCGTTTGCTGCATCTAAATCTCATTAAACCTGGACCTAAATGGATCATATTTAACTTAGATGATCCCACAGAGGCTGAAGACTCTTTAAGACACACGGTCTGATTTGTCAAACCTTAACTTTATTTTTGAAAATTGCACAAAAAGGACATTTCACTACCTAATATACTGAAATATTAACACTGTTTTTAGATGACGTACATGTTGGTTGTTGAGCTGTGACTCACAAACTGCTGCTTGCAAAGTTTACACTCGACTTTTTGAACTAAATGAAGCCACACTGACGACTTCTTTGACGCGATGTCGAGGAAACGTTCGATTAAGTCTGCCTCAGGTTGGACTAGTCCAAAGTTCTAAAAACGCGGGGGTGTCCACAGGCAATCTGTTCCCCCCGCCGCCAAAATAATGGATTAATCCTGTTGATGCAGAACTTTACTCCTGATAATCGCTCGATCTGAACTCTACAGACCTGAATTCTAACCATCGTGCGTTGAATTTAATTGCTGATGAACTTCGTCAGGCTTCCAGGCCAGGTTGAGTCGTCTCCATGGAAACCAGCAGGGATCCGACGCGGGGCTGCAGGGAAGCTCGGGTCAAGGCTTCAGCGAGAGACTGGGCCGCCAGAGCCAGGACGCCCACGAGTGAGTTTTAACCGCTGCTTGGCTGTGTTTTGTGTGAATTCTTGCTCGTCCTTCTTTTATTTAGCTGCAACGTTGGACTTTCTTCCATCCAAGACGGTCGAGATGGAAAAAAAAGAAGCCGCTCAGGTCGAAAATCAACTTTAAAATCGCTGCAAATTGCCTTGAACACGGCATACAAGCAAATAAAACCCGACCGTAGATCACAGCAGACGCTGTACAGATGATTTTATCCGACTGTAGACAAACAGAACAGCAGCCAGAGAGTCCATTTGGCAGCGATATCGATTCGCCGCCGAGTGCTGCAGATCAATTAAAAGTATTAAACCGCTCCTTTGTTCCTGCAGTCCAAACGTAAGCAGCCAGATAAAGTCTGTAAAAGTTTCTGTGGAGCGGGACTTCGGTCCGACACGATGATGAATAGGAGTCTGGAAAGCTGCCACGCTGGGAGTTACGGGTCCTAATCACTCTGTTGTTTCTCCACCAGGCCTTGGTTCAGCTCCGGCTCCAGGAGGGAACACGGACAGGTGAGGAACATCCCGTTATGTCCTTTTAGGATGCGCTTTATCACCTTTACTGCAGGAACGACTTGCTCAGCGCTTCACACGTTAACTTTGGCTCTTTGTGCCTTTTCAGCTGCACTGGGACCCTCGAACCGACCGAGGACATCGGAGGAGCTGCTCGGTTAAAACGGCGAGCAGGTGAGAGAGAGAAAAAAAATCATTAGAACACCTGTAATCCATCACCTGTCTCATTGACTCCACGGCTAGTCTCACCACATTTAACCTCTGAACTCACAGCAGCAGCATCAGCTTCTGGGTGTTTGTTTTTGTTCACTCTTGACTCATTTTTCTTCGCTGTGGGTTCATTTTTCACCGCAACGTAAAAGTCCTGCAGCTGTATAGAAACAAAGAAGAAGGAGAGAGAGCTCAGCTAGAACAACACCTCTAGCAAGAAAGTGTTTTTTTATTTGTCCCACAAGGGAAAAATCTGCAGCAAAGTGATGGTAAGAAAGCAAGAAAACACAAGAGGTGAGGTGTATACACTCTATATACGAGGATATTAAAATTATTGTAGCACAAATACTCGTTTTCAGAGAGACTCCTGCTAGAAACATTGTGAGTAAATGTTTTATTTCCAAGTTCAGCTGTGCGCTGGAGGAACTTTCTGATGTGTCCGTCCCTGATTTCTGCACCTGTCTCATGAAACAGGTGTCCCAGCAGTTTCTCTGTAGTCAGGAGTGAACAATTATTCAGATTTCAAACCGGTTTAAAGGTGTTTCATGTGGTCGGGCTTTAATTTTGACCCTCTCTGGTTGTTCATCAAACCCAGAAAAACTCCAAGTAGACGTTTGTTTATTTCCTGTCACGTTTTTCTTCACTGTGGGTTCATGAAGTCCTGCAGCTCTGTGGAAACAGAACAACATGAAGAAGGAAGAGACAGAACTCAGAGATGCGTTTATTTGCTCTACAACAAAGTCAGAATGCCAAAAAACAACCTGCGTTTCATCTGAACACTCTGAGATATTTTGTTTATTACAGGATCTGGTTTGGAGGAAGCGGTTTATTTTAGATTTTTTTAAAACAACGTGTCAAATAAGGTGATAATGATGAAATCTAATAATTTTTAAGCTTATTTTTGGTACGTTTTCCCAACTGGAAGAGCACGAAACACATGGTTTGCTCAGGGATTGTTAAAAAAATACAGAATTCTAAAATTTTTTTCTTACAGTTTAACTTGAAAACTCTCTGATTTTTTTTGTGATGTGACTGTTGGTCACGGCTCAGTGGGTCGTGGCTTCACAGCTGCACCGAGGAGAGCAGAATTTTTAGCTTTTTACACAATCTGGTTGGAGGAAATGGTTTATTTTTGTCAAATTTTTAATAAGAGATGTAGAACACAGTGGTTTTGATTGAATATCTCCATTTTAAGCTGAGGTTTGGTTCATTTTCCAGACTGATTGGCGTCGTAGAGACGAGTTTCTGGCTGGTTTGGGGATGTAAATGTCTGACTTTCCTTCGTACCTGCTTGTACGTCATGTCTAGTCGTGCTGTTCATCGTTTCTGTTTGACGTCCGACTAACGCTGGTCCTGTTTCTGCAGACAGACCAGCGGACACCTCGGCTCTCTCTGCACGGGAGACGTGAAGCGACGGCGGAAAGCTGCCCCCCTCGGCTCCACCGCCCCCTCAGGTATTCATCCACACCTTTGCTGCTCCTCACACGCCATCTGCCGCTTTTCACCTTTTTGCCGTCTTTCTGGCTCTGGGTCGAGCTCGGCGTGATCTCGGCCGTCCGTCTGGCACATGGAGGCTCCGGGGGGCCGGGAGGAAATGTGGGGCTTTTACTGCACATTTAGTGAAAAGGGAAGAAGGTGGAGGCTCATCCTCTCTCTTTATTAAAGCCTGCTTTAGCTGCTAACCCGTTTTCCTCCTAAGCGTTGTTGGACGGCGCTCAGCTGGCTCATGCTGGATTAGCTCTTAGCCAGTTACACTTGTGGATCACAGCCTCCCGCCAAAAACACTCCTTACCTCCGGTGCTTTTGGAGGAGGAAGGGCAGGAGAGCAAAGCCTAATGCCGTGAGACCGCAGTCTCTTTATGATGTAGCTGGAGTGAAGCTTTGTCCCTTTTTGTACCTGAAAACTGTGTCTACAGCGGAGTCATGGAGCTTTTCAGCTCAATATCTGGCACCAGAGTTTCTCTCGGGATAAATACAGTTCCATCTTATTTTCAAATGTTCTGGCTCCATTTCTCTAGATAGAGCATCAAAGACAAAGAGTGAAGCTCCACATGCTGTAGATGTTTAACTGTTGATGGTTTTACAGCCTCTACAAACTCTGTCACTCTACAGATTTTACATTTTCTGTTAAATTTCACATAATAGCTGCGAAATCATAGAAAAAAAGTCCTAAATTACATTTTAAAAAAAGGTCAATTTTGTCCACATCAATAATCTGTCCAAATATTAATTCATTTTTTTTAGACGTTTGAGCAATAAATTCCCTTTATTTATTTCTTTTTTTTAAAAAAAATCAGCAACAAATATAATTATTGTGCAGATTTTTGCTGTTATTTGAAAGGAAAAAATAACGTATATGAAAAAATACTTTTACTGTTATTGCCCAGATTTTTCTTGTTTCTTTAAATTACAGATAAAATCTACATCATAGAAAAAAACCCTTTTTAATTTAAACATTAACTAAAATATTGAATAACTGTCAAAAAACTCTACAGATTTTTTTTCTGTTAAATTACAAATAACAGCTGTAAATCATTTTTTATGTTCGACCGTTAATTAAATAGATTTTTTATTGTATTTAAATAAACAAATCTTATTATTATGCAGATGTTTGCTGTTATTTGAAAGAAAAAATAGGAGATATGGACTGAAAAAAAGATTTAATTCTTTTTAAATTTTACTGCTATTTTACACATTTTTCTTGTTTTGTTAAATTACCAAAAGAATCTACCAAAAAATGGTGTAAATGTAAAATCCAATACAGTCTGCCAGAAGTTTAATTCCTGCTCAACTCAGCTGAGCCGTAGAAAGATGTTCCACCA